TATATATATTGTTTTTTGCTTGACATTAAAGTGACAAATGTTTATATCTACTATATCATATTCAAATACATTCATAGTTTAAAACACTTTGTCGTTCATGTAAAAGCTCAAATAACATCAGGAGTGAGAAGAACAAGCATGGAGTTGGAAAGTTTTTGAAAAAAAGAAAAAAAAGTGTGCTTTTAATGTTGTTGTTTTTTTGCACAACACGGTCGCACGAGGAAGGGGACGCTGTTGGGTTCTGGTGGGGTTTTTTTCCCGCATAAACAACAGAGGATCTGTTTCACAAAAAGGTGGAGAAACATGAGAAAGAAGTAGTGCTGAGCAATGCTTAGTATTAGACATGGGGACAGCCGAGGAAGTGCTAGCGTCACATCGAGTGCTAGCGTCACAACCTTCAGACATCGGTACTGATGCTCCGGCTGCGGGAAAAGGCCTCCCTCATGGCAGAGAGGCGATTGGGGTTAAGTAACTGCAAATTGCTCAGGTTAACCGGCAGTTCGATCTCTTCCTGACTGATGGTCTTGTAGGTGATGCGTTCGCCTCCATTTCGGACCTCCTCCGGCGTGTGCAGGAGGAAGGCGGGCGCCTCATTGTGTGAGCAGCCCTGGCATACGCTTCGGCAGTGCTGTTGTTTCTTGTTGTAGGGCGAGGCATAGAGGGAGGGGCCATTGTCCAGGACTACGTTCCGGTTGCAGTGCACCGGTGGGAAGCGCGAATGGACAGCAAAATCTGGCTCTTCCTCATCCTCTTCCGAGTCCTCCTTCTTGCAGCAGTAATACTGATGGAAGCAAACACATGAGAATTAGGCCAGTCTCTTTGCTGGAAAACTCCTACGCTTAAAAAAGCACAACCAACCTTCAGTTTAAATCAGCTATATACACTCCAGGTGCATCATACCAAAAGGTGTACAACATTTGACAGCCCATTTTCTTTTAGAAAGCAGCCACAGTCTCAGTAGAAAAGCCTTCCCCCTGCCTGCAATTGCAGAGTCGGATCCTTGCTCTCTGTGTGGAAGCAGGGCTCTTTCTGCAAAAGTTCAACACACCCCCTAGAGTCAGATTAATAGCACTGCAATCAGCAAAGATCATGCTCCCTACTGATTAAAAAGATCTGGCTCTGACTTAGAAGGGGGTATGTTGGATCTCTTCAAAGAGACCGCTGCTTCTGCTGGCAGGGGACAAGCTTTTCTACTGTGTCTGTGGCTACTTTAGAAAGAAAGTAAACTACAAGACATGGAACACCTTTTGTTGTAATGCACTTGTAATATATTTAGCTTTTTTAAATTGCAGTTTCAGTTGGGCTTTAGGTTTATTATTTATTCTTGCTTAGTATAAGTTATATGTGAGTGACCTGCAGTGTGTTGTAAGAAGGATAGCATGAGGCCACAGGCCAAGTGCATTTAAAGATCATGTGACTTCATAGGTTTCTCAATTGATTTCTGAGACTGAGATTTCTGAGCTGATCACAATGTCAGTATCTCTCACTCAAACATTTTTTGAAAAATAAAAGTTCAGTTCATAAAGGTATTTAAGCTAACAGTTCTCCCAATAAATAAGCTGACTTATGCTGCCTTTTTATATTCCTCAAAAGAGGTTCTGTGTGGCTGTAATGAACCTCTGTGTGCTTTCACTTCTCCACTAAACTGAAACTTAAAAGAGAACTATGGGGTAAGTGTTTTTCCCCATAGTTCTCATTAGGGTCACGGGAAGACATATACTAACCTCCTCCCGTGACCCAAAGCTCGGTATATCACAGGCTACTGCCCACGATATACTGAGAGCGCCGCAGCCGGGACGGATCCCGACAATGCTGTCAAGATCCACCCAGCTGCGTGATTGACTGCTGGCTCTGCTTATCTAGAGGCAGAGCCAGCTGTGCCCGCCCACTCCCCCGTTCGTTCCTCCACTCGGCGCTTGAGGATCGGAGAGGGGGAATCCCTGTGGGCAGCGATGACTGACATTCACTGCTCTCTGCAGGGAGCAGATTGGGAAGTGAGTGGATCGGTGGCATGTTTCTGCTTACTTCCCGATGGATAGAGCCGACCTGTGACAGCTTCTTTGTCACAGGTCGGCCCTAACTATGAGGATGAGTGGAAATCACACACCTCATAGTTCTCCTTTAACCCTACCCACAATGGATTTAAGCCGCACTCAACCATTCAGCTGTCTGATGTGGCCACCACAGAGTTGAACTGTTGGCTGTTGATTGACAAGGCAGGGTGTCACTATTTAGAAAATAAAAGAGCTCCAGGACTTGTTCAAATCTACCATTGCAGTGGGGCTTGAGCACCAAGCTAAGTGCTCATTTTGGTCTAGGGATGAAAATTAAGTAAATATGCTCACCTGATCTTCTCCCATCTGGCTGCCAGACTGGTCCCCACAGCCATTTCTCCCCCAGGCTCTGGTGGTTAAAGGACCCGCAACATCATCATGTTTAATGCAGGTCCATTAGATGTGAGGACGCCGAGGGACATAGCATAGCTGGAGCAGAGGGTGAGAGGTGACCGGTCACTGCTGCAGGACCGAGGATCAGGTGAGTATATCTTCTTTATTTTCCTTCCTAGACCAAAGCAAGCACCTAACCCTTGCTGTGGGACTGTAGCCCCACTGCAATGGTTAATTGGAATGAATCCTAGAGTTCTTCTTTAAATATTGGAAATAAAGTATATTATAATAAACTATTGCTTAGTGGGATTTTCCATGACTGAAGCACCAGCTTGCTGCAATGTCTTACCTGTAGTCTGCAGTAGCAGAGAACGGCGATAATACACAGAAGGATGACAGTCGCTAATATACCACCGGTGATGACCACAGTCCCGGCTGTCATTCGACCGTCTCTCCATTAACCACCTACAGGAAAAAAAAGGGGGGCAGACAATGAATACACTGCAACAATGAACAATATGTTTTCCCTGTTTTATTTTAATACAGGCCATGCACATCTATGTGTGACTCTACACACATATTTAATTAAGAAAATGGATATTCCAGACCACTAGACTGGAGTGCCATCAGCTGCCTATATAAAAAGCTGAATTCCAACTATTAACTCAAGGATAAAGCCCCTTCACAAGACAGCTGATGATTGTATAAATTCAATGCTCATATCTAAGACCAGACGCGCTGAAATAAACTAGTAGTTAGGGAATGGAAGTGATACATATACTACTATATCTAAATAGATACTTATCCAAACATCTTCCCTAAAATCCAGGCTGTCTCAAAACTGCAAATGTCACAAAAGGGCCCAGACCTCGCACAGCCTCCAGCTCTACTACACAAGTTAATTAGCTGAGGGCTGTAAATCATTGAACATCCCCACTCATGTGAGCATGTGGAAAGCGTTTACCTGTTTTCTGGAGAAAGAATGACAGTAAAGTAATTGAATCATTAAAATAACATGACTTGATACCCCATAGCTAGTTATTGCGGTAATTCTGTAGAAAATGAACCTGTCATTCTATTTTTGGAAGCCCCAGTTATGCGGCAATACAGGTCTGTGTCTGGAAATCTGTTTCATTTCCGTCAGACTCCAAGATTAAAAAAGATGAATCTCCGGCCTTTATCAATATTCCACAGACGCGCTGAATAATTGTAACAATATATCAATCACGTGCCGCATCACAAGATTAATGTTCCAGCTTTTCCGATTCCAGAAAATCTCCCGACTGTGGAACAAAACACTGCCAGGAAAGCCATGTTCCCAGCCCTAAACAAGCTCATTCCACCAGGGAACAAACACATCATGTTCTAAATTAAATGCTTCAACCTAGAGCAATTCAGTCACTTGCATCAGTGGTGGGCATAAAAGAAAACACTCTTCACGAGTAGCATTCGATTCCCCGAATACTATAGGTAACATCTGAACAGCAGCTGTTTAAATGCAGTGTATATTTTTTAGACCATTTTCATGCTTTACCCTTATTCAGGGTGTAATATGAAACATGGTCTTTGCCCTACATGGGCAAAATGACAGTTTTTTTGATGGACTCCCTACCCACCCACTACTGCTCCCTATTTACCTGTGGGAGTGTTGAGTCTCAACCCAGTGTAAGCTCTGTGTCACTCTGTATTGGAGCTTGAACAGGGTTTATCACCTTCTCTGCTAGTGACTGGCTTCTCAAGTACTGCCAGTGCATCCTGAGAGGCAGAACAGAATATCACATGCTACCCCATTTGTAGAAATGTTGGATTTATTTCAGCACTCCCTTAGGTAAAAAGAGTGGTGAGTGAAACATGGTCGCATAAACCGGAGCAGCGCTTCGGAATCCTGAATCAAAGCTACTCACAGCTGATATAGGTATCGGATCGATCCGAGAAGACTGTCAGACTTCTATCCCATGTCGCCCTCAGCCAGCAGACAAAATGGCACTGCTGCTTCACGGGGGAAAACAGCCTTAGACACCCGCTCAGCTCTGACTCAGACATGGAGCAGAGCATTTGAGGCACACTTGTCCAGGGGAAGGAGCTCTCCAAACGGCCGGCCTCATCGCCGCTGCACTCCCCACAATCCAAAGGCCCTGTCAGTAAGAAACTTCCTCCTCTGTTTCACAGGGCCCCACTGAAACTGTGCCTTCCCTGGATGAGCTCCCTGCATCCTCTAATCCAGCCTCTGAGGCCTCTATTAAGATGATGCTTCGTTCTATCATTACGCACAGAGCTGCAGCAGGACCTTAAAGTGACATTAAACCCTCAGATTTTTTAACATAAACCAATACTGTAATGTGTACCTTACTGTAATCCATGGTTGTTTCCCTTCTCTTTGCTGCTCTTCCTTTTAAATCTGTATCTGTTCTCATGCTCTGCAGAACTTCTGTTTTGCAGCAGACTGCATTGTCTCAGGAATGGATACACGGTGTCTGTGTATCCGTTTGTATAGGCTTGTAATCTGAGCCAGCACTACAGGAAGAGGCCCTGAGCTGAAAAGGGAAGTTCTGCCCAGCAGGAGAAGACATGATGATTTAAAAGGAAGAGCAGCAAAGAGAAGGGAAACAACCATGGATTACAGTAAGGCACAC